GTCTATAATATTCATTGATTTTCTCGCTAACCACTCTACTGTATATATCATTCCATAGAGAATTTCAGGGACTTGAAGATGAGCTGTAAATAGGTCTTTCAAGAACATGCACACATGAGCATAATCGCAGACAAAAACTGCATCTGATAAGTTGACATAAGACAAATTTGAGAAGAGCCCGATTTCGGTTCTTATCGTCCCCCGTTCTTTCTAGGGAAGATTATGCTGAATTATTCTCGTTCTTTTTAGATTTTCTTTTAAGTCGTGTATATACACGAGTTAATGTTGATTGCCATCATGGGTGCGGCGACATTTTATCATTCAAAGAACAGTAACATAGTTCTCTAAATTCTTGCCGCTTGTGCGCTATATATGCTGACGTTCCACCGTATTTATTAATTCTTTTTCTTTATATCAAATGTTTGTATCGACTGTTTGTAAGTTGCTGTTAGCTGAAATTGTCCATTATCCGGTCGAGTTTCAAACTGTATTTAATAGATTTGTTTTTTCTTATTTCTGATAGATGCTTGGTGTGCTATAAACAATTGATGACCGGCCATCATTTCTTAACTAACGAGAACTTTCTCACTTCTAGCATGGATTCTTTTTGCACTTACGTCACTATAAAACAAACTGAATGAAACTGATCGATTAAAAAAAGAGCTGAGTTGGCAGCGATATACACATTAGGGATGTTACAAATAAGATGAGTGAATAAAATGATCACTTATTCACATAGTCACTTTTGCGTTCTGTCACCTTTTCAGACGACGTTATTGCCCAACGTATCTACTATATATACGCAAAAAAGAACATTCGGCTATAACGTAACTCTCGCGAACAGAATTCTGTCAAGCCCTGCCATTAATCTTCACGATTGTCTGACCATTATTGCGAACATTTTCGTTTTCCAGTAGAGATATTACTGAATGAGACTAAAGAAGAAGTGGAAAAGGAATTACGGGAGGTCATGAACATTTTTTCGAATAACAACGAGATCCGCGTTCGAGTAAGTTACGCGGAAAAATCGGAGGGCAGACGTCGTCGTATCGGGATTCATCGTCTCCTTCATTACCTAAAACAGAATTTGCTTCATCAAGAAGTGCATAGTCATTGGTTGATTCACCTGATTTTTGTTGTGCTTCGACCAGCACTGACAACATTTCTTCAACTTCAATATTTTGATCTTTAATAATTCGCCAATAATCTGAATCTGAACGAGGCTTCTGCCCAAACATTACCTCATATGATGTACATTTAATGCTGCACGTGTATTTATTCCATACACAACAGGCAGCAGACCGTCTGATCAATGCTCTGAATTCGTTGATGACATCCATTTACCTAAAGAATCACAAAGCACACCATTACCTCTTTCTGCCAAACCTTGGCTTTGTGGATGCCTTGGCCGGCCTCTAATAAAACACATATCAGGAAATAATGATTTTAATGCAGTGATTAAAAAAATGAAATTAAAATCAAGAATCTAATTTTAATTTTGGCTAGCCAGACTTGAAATTTTAATTTGGGCTGCGAACTGTCAGCCAAATTTAACATTTGGCTGAATTTTAAGTTTGGCTACAACGTATATACATGATTAGAATAGCACAGATAGTGGTGTCCTTCCTGATGCGCTATTCTAACCATTCAAATGTACATGTTTTCAAGTGAAATGATTGTTTTTCTTTCTCAAGAGATCAGCAGCTTTTCTTTCAAGAAAAAACAGAAACTTGAATAAGTTTGGTTACCTTAACTTTACAGAAAACAAAACAATATTATTGTCACCTCAGTTGTGCAACTGAATTATTTTGAATAATGGAGTGAAAAAGATGATTAACGAATGTTTTACTGTTCTTTTGCATCCTTCAGAAAAGAGTGGTTTTTGCTACCGGTGGAGAACATTCGCGCAGTTTTCACAGTGAGTGGCGAACAACTTTGTGGGACCAATTTTCGTTCGACCAACTTACATTCGAGCAATTTCTGAAGGTATTGGCATTGGCAAGGATCTAGAAAATTAAAAAATACATTTTCTGACTCAGAATTTGATGGTCTTTCGAATGAGTCGAAGTTGCACCCTCACGCTCACGGCAAGCAGTTCTCCTAGAGAGCAGTTTTCGGTAAACCTTCAGGTTGTTACAAACGAATCTCAATTGCAGAATGAAGTAAGGAGAGAACATTTGCTTCTGAAAAGTTCCTGAAAAGAAGTCAACTTTGACAATATTTTCTACTGACAGCAGATCCCAGTTACAACTACAAGTGAAGTTACGAGTGCATTTTCTCACTTCTGTACATTTTTGTTTCGACACTTGTCGCTGTCCTCTGGTCTCTGGGACCGACCTTAGGCCTTGTCGCTTGCCTTTTTTTACTATGAATCAATAAAGTTATAAAACAACTGAATCGAACGTGCTATGTTTGGAATTTCTAGGACGTAAAACGGAATTTGTGTGTGTTGAAAAGCTCGAAGCTGAACTACCTTCAAAACTTTGCAATTTTCTAACAAAACAATTTAACAGAGCAATTTTCATAGACGCGCAAAAAACACCCTTTTCTCAAAGATGCAAAAGAACAGTAAAACATTCGTTAATCATCTTTTTCACTCCATTATTCAAAATAATTCAGTTGCACAACTGAGGTGACAATAATATTGTTTTGTTTTTTGTAAAGTTAAGGTAACCAGACTTATTCCATTTTCTTTTACTGATCTCTTGAGGAAGAACAACAATCATTTCACTTTAAAACATGTATATATAGATGGTTAGAATAGTGCATCAGGAAGCACAAATAGTTTTTTTTTGTGTTCTTTTGTAAGTAATACAGTTTCGTAACTTTTAACGAACGCTTTGATGGCAAGTATAGTAACTCATTGACCACACTGAATTTCGAGTGTTCGACGGAGAGAGACATTTTAAAGCAATCCAATTTGAAAAGCTTCATTTTCCGCTAGGCTTTCTCTAAAAGAACCTAACAGAAAATTTATTCCGATTATTTTAACACAAAATTTCAGATTTTGAATCTATCCAACTATGAAAAATATTTATTTAATACTAACGTTCTTAGTATATATCATACTGTTAAGGTACGTATCAGTTTGGAGAGTTGTAAGACAGAGCAATTATTTTGTGTTTTTTGTCTTCTCTTTAGAACATGTGAAGGTAAGTAAAGATGACGTGAATTGGAGTGAGTGTTTTTTGAAATACTTCGTACGGTAAATGTTATAGGTCAATCAACAACTTCATGTAATGCAACATTGTGCTCATCGAAATCGTCACCACGATGTTCAATGAATATTGATTGTGAATGTTTTTCGTTACCAAGTAATCCAGCTTCGGGAATCTGTGCTGTTGCCGATCTCTCATGTTCAAGTGTTGTACGATGTAATCCAGACGGTATAACATGTTCAATGCCGAATACAGTCTGTGTCAATAATACACGTTGTCAACAACCCGTCTGTTATCCATCGGCTTTAGCTAACACACAGATATGTCCACCGGTAATGCCAGGTGCGTTCATTGTGTCTAATATCCTCAAGATAATAAGAAGTTGAACTATCTTTTTTTAAGAAAGACTCTGATAGTCGAGGCACTAATAGCGAATAAGATCGGCTATCTTACACAAAATTCCTTGTGTTTTTGATATTTCTAGAAAATGGTGTCTCGATAGCTACGCAATCGGGTAGTTTTTTGGTTCCATCAACATGGAGCAGCTTATTATCTCCTGGTGCTGGTACAACAGTTGTTATACCTGCTGGTATTACAGTTACATTGAATTCTACAAATCAATTGTCATTAAGTGGTATAACGATCCTTGTCTTTGGTCAACTACGTATTGGTGGTGGTAGTCCGTATACATCGTATACATTTGTCTATCCAGTGAATATCTATGTGTATAATGGTGGTATAGTACAAGATTCAACAAGAAATCGTAGTGGAATCTATTTTAACGTCAATTCATCGGTCATCATATACAATGGCGGTTATTGGATAACACAAGGACCGAGTTATATTTATATTTATTATCTACAAACAAGTGCTATTAGAGGAATATTACAATTAAATAATATAGTGGGACCATACAGTTTAACAATAACATACAGTGGACAAATATATAATAATGGTTAGTTTATGTTTGAGAAAAAAAAGACTTTTTTCGACAAACACTTATACATCTACACATTTTTTGTTTAGGTACACTTTGGACGGCACCCACAACAAGTAAGATTAACATTACTCAGTTAGATCGAAGTGTAAACTTAAAAGGAAAACATTTCGTTAGTCACCGTAATTGCACTTCTTATACGTCTCAAGAAAGTGAGATCTTGGTACATTTCTTACTTTTTCTTGCATTTACTGCAAGAAATATTCGGTCACAATACTATCAGAGTTATTCCACTCATATTTGTAACTCTGTGGTTCAGTCGATAGGAACGTGCACCTGCTATGCACAAGGACTTAACTAATTCGAGTCCCGCTGCTACTTTTTGCATTTTTCTTGCTACTTCTTCTAGTAGTTTTGTATCTCCGTAAAACATTTCGTTTTAATTATGTTGATAAGAAACTCATTTCTCGCTATTCTTGCAGCGTTATGCTCTCTACAAGAAATACATTTCTCGCAGAGAAGTTCGCCGGCAAGAAGTAACTAGCAATACACGAAAACTTGAGCAGAAGATCAAAAATGTGTGATCTTCCGTCAAGATGTGGGCAACTTTTTGACCTCAACAAAACTCGACTAAGGCGCACTCATAGATATGTTTATGGGTGTTCATTTTTAGGATTAGACTAGCAGGCTATTGTCATCAAAAACATCGATTTTTACCTCAGCTCAGCAAAATTTTCTCAGCAATGGCAGAATTCCTACATTTCAGACATTCTACAGAATTCTATAGAATTCTAGGTTAGCAACTATGTCTGTATTAACGTGGAATTCTATAGAATTCTATAGAATAGCTGAATTGCAGGAACTCTGACATCCCTCAATCTTCTTATGTATGCAATAGAGCTACTACTCTGCACCGAATAATTTTCGATTCCTGCCTTTCGCCACCTTTTTTTACAACGCCGTCTCAAAACTTTTGAGAGACGCCTCATTGTGTTCGGAATTGTAAGCCCTATCAAATGTGTGTTACAAAAAGAAATTCGATGGTTTCCACGATCTGTAGCGTTTGTGCAAAACAAGGCTTTTCAGAAAAATACGCGCCGCAAGACCTCTCGTACTGGCATAAGTTTTCTGCAGATTTGTATAAAAGACGATCAGAGTTCTCAGATCAAATATAGGGTCATTATGGTTTCTGTGAACTTTGCAAAATAGTTCATTTCTGCTTGAAAATGGTGAAGAATGCGACCTTTCGCTAGAAAGATTATGACTTTTTTTCAACGAAGACAAGGAGCTACGGTTTTCTTCATTGGATTCGGTCTGTGCAAAACCGTATCGACTGGGATATATCTCATCACTTGGGTCACAACTTTTGTATATCGTGGTAGGTTTCATATCGATTTATCCTGGAAATTCAGAATCTAGACTTACTTCATAGCTCGATGTCTATCAACAAAAAAGAATTGCCCAGTTTTGCTCAGACACGAAGTTGGTGTTGGTTTTCCCTGCACTCGAGGTATTTTTCAACCTATGAGTATCGAGTATCAAATATTTCGATAGACTAAAGGGATCATCCATAAAAGCGTCTAAGAGAAACGATCGTTTTTTACCACTATCCTCTCCGCCTTTCCATAACTTGCCGATTTCATCCGACATTCACTCCCACCGTCCTGTAAAAAAGCTTTTTGACAGATAAAACCGGTATTTTTCCATAATTCAGTTTAATCTGGACGTTCAGCGTCTGCGAAACTTTCCGGTTTTGGTCTAACCCATCTACCATTGGCCCGCCTTTATAGCTCACTTTTGATGTTCTCTGACATAATTCTTTCGAATTCTAACACCTTTCTTTTCTCTCTGACAGTCACGACAACTTCAACTACCACACGTTCGCCGACAACAACCGGTATGGTTTTCTTATCAATTTTTCTTTCAATTTCTTTTATCTCATCTCTTTCCATCTATAGTAAAGAGCTGTTCACCGGCCTGTACTGCCAAGCAAACTTGTGTTGATGGCGTTTGTGTCGGTGTTGGTTTTCTAAGTTTTACAATGACATGGTCACGTAACGGCGATGGTGATATCATTGTCAACACACCTGAGGGTCATAATATTTATTATACAGAGAAAGGTGTGTTAATTGATGGTGGTACGCTCGATGTCGATGATCGAACTGGAAATGGTCCAGAAAATGTCTACTGGCAAAGCACACCACCAAAGGGCACCTATCATGTCTGTTTCGTAACATATAGTTTTAGTCCAGATGTTAGTTCATCAGATCCGGTAATTGCAGCACTTGTATGGCGTATACCATCAAGTAATACAATAGCTACAATATCAAAAACATTTACATCGAATACTGGACGAAGTTATACTTGTTCAACATCACATGCAGGATATATGAAGACGCTTACCATATCTTAAAAGCATTTTCTATCTGAAGAGAAAACTGACAATTGTGTGCACTCACCAAATTTTAATGTCAATTGTTTAATGTCACATGAGTTGATTTTAATAGCTTTTCTTCGAGGAAATAAAACTTCTTGAATAAGTTTCTATACCGCAACTTTACAACAAACCAAAATATTTGACCAAAACGGGTCATCTTTCCAGATAATGCATGAAGTCTAAGGTATCTCCTTCTGTACAGACTAAGTCGAACAAAGTGATTTTATAAGTCTCGAAATAAAATTGCACAGAAGTGAGAAAATGCACTCGTAACTTCACTTGCTGTCTTAACTGGTATCTGCTGTCAGTAGAAAATATGTCAAAGTTGACTTCTTTTCAGGAACTTTTCAGAAGCAAATGTTCACTGCTCACTTCATTTTGCAGTTGAGATCCGTTTGTAACAACCTGAAGGTTTACCGAAAACTGCTCTCTAGGAGAACTGCTTGCCGTGAGCGTGAGGGTGCAACTTCGACTCATTCGAAAGACCATCAAATTCTGAGTCAGAAAATGTATTTTTTAATTTTCTAGACCCTTGTCAATACCGTCAAAAATTTCTCGAAAGTACGGAAATTGTTCACAGAAAGTTGTTCGCTGCGAAAATTGCTCGATAGGAAAATTGCTTGCTATGTCGATTGCTCACTATGAAAATTACTCGAATGTTTTCCACCGATAGCATAAGTAAGGTTTGAAATGAGAAGCAGGTTGAATTCTAAAAGTTTAGGAATGGATATGAGATTATTTTCTATCTAACATCATAAGGATGATTTGATCATGAAGTAGTTAGTATTGTATCGTTTATTTGTAAAATGTAACTAGAGAACAAAGCCGAGGCCAGGCCCCATTAAGATTGTCCGAAAAAACACTAGAAGAAGAAGATAAAAACCAGGATTTCTCGAAACATGCTAGAAAGTAAAACATAAAAATACCAGGCATCGGCGAGAAAAGGAAGATGAAAAAGAAATGTTGTATTGCATCAGGAAGAAAACAGGACGGTGACGAGAGAGAGATCTTTGAGCATAGGAAAAAATAAATCAAGTTGAGGCAGTATGGAACGCTAATAGAGGAAAAATTTAGAGTAGCCTTATGCAAACCTTTTTGTTTGCTGGATGAAGGAACTCACTAAGTTATAGACTGTAGAGATAGAAACACTATCGATGAGTCCATGAAGGAGCATTGTATCTAGGTTGGGCTCCAGTTTAAGTAATTTAACAGAAGCTAAAACTATATCTCTTTCATGCCTACATGCGGGACACTGGAAGAAAAAGTGTTTAAGATTCTCTTTTACTCTAATGGATGGTGAAAGCGTCAAACACGACTCACATAGGGAGCTTAGATATACCAATTATCACGAGTATAATTAAAATTTAAAATAAAGATGATAAAACGTTATTTTAAAATTATAATTAATAATAAATATTGCGAGCATGGATAAAATTAAAGAAAAAATAAAATGAATAATCATAAAGGATCATTAATAGATAGCTTTTGCTTGAGCTAGATAATTCATATTAATAGATAGTTTTTACTTGGGCTAGATAATTCATCAATGAATTATCTAGCTCAAGCAAAAGCTATCTATTAGTTATCTACTATGACAGCACTATGGGCGTAAAGACTAGTATAAATCCTCGTATAAATAGAGGTCGGCTGTATACTACTCCTTAAGACTGATACTGAATCGTTAAAGTGTTGCACAACTTCAATCGTTGTACATGATATATGACTGGGTATGTTACAAACCCAAACCCAAGTGACTTGGGTGTATTGGGTTTGGGTTTGGGTATTGGGTACTCAAGTCTAAGATTTGGATTTGGGTCCGTTGCCAAAGTACGTTAATATTCTTCTTCAATGAAACTTAGCAGTAGTACCTTACGCTCTTCTGCCATACTATTCATTTATCGTTTTCTCTTCATCGTCGCTGTTTTCGCTTTCAAAACTTCACTTTTTTTCTTTAGTTTTCCCTATTCTTTTATATAATTTTTTATAGTGTTCACCGATCATTTTGTTAACATATTTGTGGCACGTTACCAGTGCTTATTTTTTTAGTATTTTTCTCTGTTTCGAGGATGATATGAACAAGATAAGTAGAATAAAACATTCAACTGTTGGATATTTGAACTAATCCAAAATGAGCGCTAATCGTTAGCATTAGGCATTACCAGAGATGGGCGAGTCAAGCCATTTTTCGAGTCGAGTCGAGTCCGAGTCGAGTCATCAGCGTTCTCGAGTCGAGTCGAGTCAAGATATTTTTGCCATTTTTTCGTTTTCGGTTTATTTTTATAAAGAAAATTAACAAGTTTTTCGTGACACAATATTTAGTTCCTAGTTCTTAATTCACGAAAAAAACAAAGTCCTACATGAAATGAAATGACACAAGTACTATAGATTTATCAACAAAACAAGAACATCAAAATCAACTATTCTGACGAATAAGTGAAAATTTAATCTGATGAGTTGTGATTTTTTTATAAGAGCAAATTAAATTTTTTTTTAATGAATGACTCGAGTCAAACAGTCGAGTCAACGTCACCCAATCTTCGAGTCCGAGTCGAGTCCGAGTCATTAAAAAAAGGTGACTCGAGTCCGAGTCATGACTCGGACTCGCCCATCTCTGGGCATTACGTACGTCCACAGGCCGAAAGAAACATCTTACATGCTGTTTTCTCAAAGAGCCACAACAAAAGAAGGTATCTCAGTTAAAAGGAGTCTTTTAATAACCCAAGTCTGACCCAATATCCAAAACCAAGTCTCAGACTTGGGTACCCAAACCCAAGTCCAGACTTGGGTTTGAGTTTGTAACATACCTATATATGACAGAACGTCAAAGTTTACTTTTGCAGTATTTTTCTGCATAAGTGAAATTTGTTCCGTTCCGTCTGTAATCTGTACAAGGATTGTCTTTGTGTCATAAATCTTCGCTGCATATTCACTCATACGTTGATAAAGGATCATTTTAAATTTTTTTTTGAAAAATTTAGGTATTGTGCTGTCTATAGAAAAGCCAGGAATGATCGACCTTTTTCAGTCAATGATTGGACTATATTGGGAGTAACATAGACTTTGGTAAGAAGCGATACATTATTTGTAATAACAACATCCAAGCAGGTTGTGTGAAACCGTTATAATTAAAGTAATCGTTTAATGTTTAATGCTTTCTCTCGTAGAAACTTTACAAGAAGTACACTAGTTAGAACAGTGAGCATTGATATCTCCGATCAGTATGACCGCATCAGATGATTTCTTTTAGCTACTAACGCAGCGAATGTCTAGATAATCAGGGCGACAGCATAGTACTAATAATAGTTTTACCCTGTAGGATGTTTTTAACGCAAAAAACACACGCTCAAGACTATCGCTTTCTAGTTCTGGAAGACGCTTAATATCTATATCATTTCGAGCATATAGAAGACATCCGCCCCCTTGATCGTTTCGATCGTTTCTAAAAGGGATTTGGTAATTCGACAAGTGAATGCATTTGTCGTCAATTGAGCTTCAACTATGCCTACAACTGCTGGATTTGAACGCGAGGTGTATGCACATAATGCACCATATTTTGTATATGATACAGTTCGAGTTTTTTCGGTAGGTTCGGCTAGAGACATAAGACTACGGACATTAAAAATGATACAAACAATTTTCCACACTCTCCCGGTCGATTTGCATTATGTGACATCTTAGTTGATAAAAAATAAAAGTGATGCTAGGAAGTCTCATGTCGTCTGAACAAAATTCCAGGTTGCAAGAACACATTTCTAATATACGATGCATTGTTTGTTCAACACAATAGACGAAGAAGTCTACTTTAGTCATAAAGAGAGGGAAAGAAACGCAACATATACACTGTAAAATATAAGAAATGAAACACACAAGCATAGGTACATCTGACTAGTCAAACGAAAATGTTTAATAAGAAAAATAAAACTTGTTATACTTATTCAGTTGCATTTCCACTGATCACGTTTTGTTTGGGATGTTCAGCTAGTATGACATCAAGATCAGCTAATGTTTTTTTATATGAACTTTTTATTTCGATAAAATACAGAACAAATCGAGACAATTGTCACATTAAATGTTCATAGTTTGCTTAATACATGACTAAGAAATCTCAAGTTTATATCGTTACTGTAAAGACGACGGGGAAGAGAACATATACGAGAAGAGAGAAAAAACCACATTCAGTTAAGGTACCACACGTAAAGGCGAGAGTCATAGGAGTAAAAGCGAAATGAAAGTTTTTGGTAGCACAATGGAGTTGTGAAGATCATTAAAACGGGCGGTGTTAGTTATAAACTGACATATTGCTTCATATATTTTGAAATAATTAGTTTTGTTGAAGGATGATTTTAATAGAATAACATTTTTATTAAATGGAATATTTAGTATTTTAAATTGATTAATCAGGACGTTTCTATGAGAGTTAGAGTAAATGATTACAGGCTTCCTTAAAAGTCACTTGTGGAGACAGAGAGAAACAGTAGAGAGTGTAACACATTTTCTTTGGAAGAGATAAGAGTGTAACTGTGGAAAACCTGCTCTTAAAAAAGAGGGCTTCTGTGCGTTGACTAATTGTCGATGGTATTTTTAAATGGTTCCCTGTTAAACTGATTCTTAGCTCTTTTCTGAATATAGAATTTCGTTTTTTAAACAAAGCAACGGTGATTTTGCTGTAAGTTCCTTCCATTTTCGAATCATTGTTGGATAAAAAGAATCTTGACAAGTAGCACTTTTATCGCTGTAGGCGTACATATCATTTCTAGTGTTACTACGAAGATAATGTTGAGCATTATGCGGTATATCTAGTATATCTGTAGTATATCTCTTTCATTTCTATATGCGGGACACTGGAAGACAAAGTGTTTAAGATTCTCTTTTACTCTAATGGATAGTGAAAGCGTCAAACACGACTCACATAGGAGCTAGATACACATTTACGCTGGTGAAAGTAATAATATAACGCTGGAAAATTGACTCTTAAC